GATATCATGGCGTTGATCTAAAAGAACAAGCTCTAGCTGTTCTTTGAAAGGGTAAGTTGCATAAGATCCATAGACCGAATTTTATAGCAGTCCAAGCATAAAATGATATGATGCGACTTCAACACGTGTCTTCAATTGATTTGTTGATCCATGTATCAACATACTCTTCATATCAGTCATTTGTTATGATGTATACAATTGTTGCTTTAACTATCCTTTTGTATGTCGAGTGAATATAAAGAAGGAACCAAATAGTACTTTTGATACCTTTGAACTTGTTTTTGTTAAGATGCTGAGCATGGTTACATACCAGGACAAAGGTTGGAGACTTGGTCTCGAAACATATTTTTTTAGTCTTCATCCATGCTTTAGTGTACCAAGTGAACAGTAAAACAAGAATCAAATAGTACTTTTTGATACCTTTGAACTTGCTTTTATTGACATGTTGAACATGTTGCCACACAAGGATAAAATATCTGACTTATCTATTTTCTGATCTTCTATCGGTTAGATGATGAACCAATCCACTCTGGTGTCGATCTAACTTCACTTCAACTAGTCTTCAATTTTACTGAAGGTGCTTTCCTTGATCATATAATAGATTTACAAGATAAGATTTACAAAGAAAATCCTATCTAACAGGATGGTTGGGTATCCAAAATACAAGGTGTACTTCGGATACACCAAAGACACATCCTTATAAATTATGAAGTAAAACATCATATTCTACAATATCTTAGAATAAAATGTGACTTCATGAGAATCAAGATTGACTGACCTATGAAGATAGGTCAATCGGATTCTTTCCTTTGGATGGAGAAATACACATTTTATTTAAGCTACAAATACGGATATGAATAGGATTCAAAAACCTTGAGCTAATATTTTTCTTTTGTTAAGCGAGGTTCAGATGTTAGTCCTTTGTATTATATCTAATATATATAGTACATTGGATATAAACACTTGTGTTATATCCGATGGATAATGTATATCAGATATAAATACTTTTATTGTATCTGATATATCAGATATAAACACTTGCATCATATCTGATAGATGATGCATATCGGATATTACTATTACAAGACAAGTACAAAGAATTTCTCTCTAAGTGTTTTGGTCGGATGCTAGATGTATTATATACAAATCCGATCGTTGAGACCAATAAATACGTACTTCAAGTTTTTGTGCACGGTAAAAAGTATGCAATTAATACCCTAGAGATAGTGTTGCCATCATTTCAAAGCAAATACTACCACAATCAATTGCAAGTCAGGGATAAGATAATTTCGCTCATGCTCCATGAGTTGTCTTGACGCATAGGCGACCATCTCACTCCTTTGCATCAAACCAGAACCCAAACTCATCTTAAATGCGTCACTATGCACCACAAAGTCTTCAGATCCTTCTGCAAGGATAAAATTGGAGCTTCATACAACTTTTTCTGAAGAGTTCGAAATGCTTTCTCTTAGGTCTCAGTCCATACAAACTTTATGTTCTTTTGAGGGTGAGATTTAGATATTTGGGTCTAGTTGTTTTCTGGGAATTGGGTGCGAATAGGAATTTTTAGAGCTAAAGGCATCGTCTACATACGTGTAAGATGTGCATAGTAAAAAGTGGATTTTGGAAAAGAAGAAGACTGATTCATCAAAGAGAACGGGTAGGGAGATGAAGGTATTGTTGGAAGAATAGTCCAAGCATTTATACCCTCTATGGTTGGTTGAAAGCCCAATAATATGCATGAGTGAGGAAGGTACGTACGAGACTTGCATGCGAGTAGGAGGGAAAAGAGGCAGCAAAGGCACCTAGAAGTGCAAAGATGCATGCGAGTATGAGGGGTAGCGGTGATAGAAAATTGTGGTCGGCGTTTGAAAAGTGTGATGTTTGGAAGTCAAGATTTTTTTAAGTATGTGGCTAATTAGAGAGCGTTGTCGAAGCATCGAAAGCATAACTGCACACTCACACGATCTTTGCCGACAGATAGGAGCATTTGATGAACTACACTTGCTTATGGATAAATGTGTGGGGGATGGCAGAAAGAAGGGGGACGGAGGCATGAGTGAGGACGGTACATAACTAGTTTTGCGTTCAGCCTTGCCATTTTACTTATGGGGAAATTTATGGGCACAAGACATGGCATGAATGCCATTTTGGTCACATAATGTGAAAAAGTGGTCATTATCGAACTTACATCCATTATCATATTGAAAACATTTAAAGTTATGTTCAGATTGAGTATGTAATAAGTTCGAAAAGGGATAAATTTGTATTAGACATGAGACTTGCAAGAGATCGAGAACATCCATAGAAAGTTTGTGTAATCGCCTAAGAAAATACGTAGTATTTGTGTCAAGAAGCGCACAAAGTGGGTAAACTAAATCAAATGGCATGCAAGTATTTGACATTGCATTGCGAATGGTAATTTGATATTTTTTCCAAGAACACATGAGTGAAAAATGGAATGACTAGATTCTTTATTACAATCAATGGGCTTATTTAATCTAACATAACAATCAATGGGCTTATCAGCAAAGACATATGGCGAGGCTTGATGACGAGAGGTGGAGTTGTTGAGTGGATATATAGATCTCCCATATAGTTACATCTCAAAAGATGTGTCCACATCCATAGGTCCTTCATATAAAATCAAAGGCTCTAACTCAACAAAATCAACATTATCAATGGTAAATTTTGAACAAAGATTAAGGTTTTTTTAAGGAGTTTAGGAGAGTGGAAAATGTTTTATATTGTGTCTTAAAAGCGATTTTGAGGCGGGGTAGCATTCCGATCTTAAGCAAAGGCGTCATGCACGACCCTATGTCATGTTTAGTTGGTAGTCAAGCTTAGAAAAGTCTTTATTCATCTTGATTGTTCTTTTTCTTGATTTTTTTATTATATATTCTGTGTTACTTGTCTTTTTCATGATCTTTTCATTATATTGATGTAAGTTTTACATTTATACCGTAAAAGTGTCGGAAAATTGTAACATACGATGGATCATAGAGAAATGATAGACAAAACATGTACAAGGATCTATTCTTGACTATAACCTAGCTACGAAAATTATGAATTGGTTCTTTGATTTTATTAACTCACACTAAACATGACGACACATGAAAAATAAAAGCTAATGAAGATCGGTTAATGTCAATCTTGGATTTTGTTGGTCCTAGAAGGGCAATGACCAACACAAAAAGTTTGTAGAAAGGGGTTGAATACAAACATAACATATTTTGACTTTTTAATTCTCTATATTTATAAAAACAGAAGAATTACAGAACTGTTGCAAAAGCTAAGGAGGTAAGACTGATGCTAAACAATCTGGTTGATGATAAATTTACTTGAGACTGAAAGAATAAAAGAAGTTGTTATTCTTTTAGATGTGAAATGAGATAGTCTTCAGATGTTGATGCAGATTTTTCCTAAGAAACTGTCACTCAAAAATTCCTATAAAAAACAATGAAGTGCAACATTTGACAAAGGTTGCCTTTTATGGCCACCATTGCATTATTTGGACAAGGAACTCATGTCATCTGTGTATTGATTTGAATTCGAAGATTACACTTGAGAAAAAAGTTACAATTGAAGCATCACAAGAATCGATCTACTCAATGTGTTTCCTATGAAAAGCTTAATTCAAGATCCTTTCAAATACAAGGAATGAAAGAACTATTTATAGGCCATAGAGGTTTATGTCAAACCACTATCGAATGGGAGCTTCCATATGTAAAAGGTGTTCAACAAACTTCAGGTGCAAACCGGTTGTAATTCACGTCTTTAGATCCTTGATCAAGAGATAAGTGTTGAGTCTAGAGAGAGAACTCCAGAGGTAGCCGGATTTTTTGAAAGGCTAACCAGAGCTCTAAAGTATCTCTACAATGAGTGTCCAGAGACTCAACACTTAGAAACTCGTAGTTTTTTCTTTTACAATACTTTTCAATGAAAACTAGGGTTGACAATAATACAATGAAGCAATAATTGTGCCGGTTCAAAGGTCAATCATAAGAAAAATGTAAACATAGATTCAAAAGTGTTATTCTCTAATAATTATTTTTAAACCTAAGAAAAACAATAAAATAAATTTAATAACAATGCACGAAACTAAATATGAGAAACTTCTAAAAGTAAAATGCAATCTAAGAGTAAGTATTAACAACTAGAAACAAAAAGGCATATTTATCGCGTTTCAGTATGTTCAACAAAGGAATAAACTCTAAAGGAAACGAATAAAGACAAATGGATGAGCATTTGTAAAGGAAAAGAATACTATATAAAGACAAAGCTCAACTTATCATCAATCTAACAAAAGGTTGCATAATTTCTCACATCTCTCTATGTTCAACAAAGGAACAAACTATAAGCAAACGAAACAAAAGTTTAACCTAGATCTGAACTAGAAGGATTAAAGAAAGAAAGATGAAAGAACAAAAGGAAATGAAAAAAAAAACTATGCCGGCTGCCATCGAGATGATGGAAAAAGAGGAAAAAACAGACTTCAGGAGACCAAAAACAGTGAAGGTTTGGTTATAGGATGAATGACAAATAGGTAATTTGCGTTAAGGTATAAGTTACTTTTTTCTTATTTAATTAGATGTTATAAATTCAATACTTCCACGTTTATATGGATCTTGATTAAGTCATCATATTTCAAGATTCTTGATTAGTCTATATTTTTGTCGGTTCAATGTTATCATTGATTTTTCAGTTATTGGGCCATGTTTGTTGATATACGAAGAACCATGAAAAATCAGCTCGAACACTACGCTTCGTTGTTACATCTCAACATGAGGTTGTTAACAAAATTCGTTAAGCTACTTCATTGTTCAGGAACGTGTAATCTTATCCCAACGAGCCCATCTCCGCTTGTATTCAGCCGCAACTTCAAACCGTCTTAAACGAAAGAGGAATATATACTGGCCTAGTTTCATCGGCCATATCTCATAATTTCTCCACTTGGTCCTTTCAAAATTTTCAAAGATACATAGAAAAAGCACAATTTATCTTTTCTGTTAAAAAAATCTTTACATCTTTTCACCATGGCCTCTAATGCAAGCAAAATAAACAAGAATTGAACTTTTGTGTCACTTTACAGCAGGGTATAAAAAAGAAAAAAAAACGATAAATATATGAAAACGTACATACGTTTACGCCTACGTATATAACAAAACATTTCATGCCCATTTTGCAAGAAGCGACATACAACCAGCACCCAAAAGTAGAGAAACATTTGAACAGAATTGAAGCATTCTATTCTTTTGCATCCGCGGATTCATAAAGTCGGGTGAAAGTAGGTCAACAAGTGCCATGTAGATCAAGATCCCGGCTGATGCGGAGTTTAGTACACCCTCTACGATTAGGGCAGTTGGACTATTCTCCTTGTACGAATTGGTTACTATTATCCCGATTACGATCCCTATTGGGGTTGTAAGGCTAAACATAGTTCCCATAAGTATAGCAGCAAATGACTTGAATTCCGCCTACAACAAGATTTAAAACTTTTACGTCATCTTCTTTCTTACAAAGAAGTTGGTAAAGAATGTCGTGTCGATGTGATTTTTTTTTTCCGATTCATCCATTTATTAATGCCTTTCTAATTCACAATTAGTCACCCATGCATCATGAGCACAATGAATTGTTATCTAACTTATTAGCTAGTTTAAGAAACATGTATACTTTAGTTGCTAGTTTATGAACCAACAATCAAATTATCAGCTAATAACTAGCTTAGAATTTAGTTTGCAAACATGACCGTAGGGTGATCTTCTAAATTTTAACAATTAACCTAAATTTTAACATTGTATATTCCAATTAACCTTTTTTTCTATTAACCTGGATATCCAACCCGCTATGCGAGCTGACTAATCCCAGGACGAACATCTGCTTTGCTTTGCTTTGCATTGCAGATAGCCCAGAGTCACTGTATTTGAACCTCCATGGCCACAAGTGGATTTTTATTCCTCCTTGGATTTGAACCTTTTAACTTTGAAGGCTAAACACATTTGGTAATCAGTATAGGAATTATCCTTACCTGAAAGATGCATCCTCCAAGACCTATTCCTTCAAAAAATTGGTGGAAGGTCAATGCGATCACGAGTGGTTTTATGGTTTTTGGACTTTCAGAAGCACCAACAGACAATCCTATTATCACTGAATGAACAATTATACCCAACTCCAGAACCTGCATCAATAAAGCCAAATGTATTTTATACAAATGCAACCTTCATTGTTAACTTTGAAGATGGAAATTATGTGCTTTAATGTGCATGATCATGCCTTATTTCATGTTTAATTGTGATTAGAGTTCAGTAGACATAACAATTTACAAGTGGAGGACTCATGATCCAAATTTCTAGTGCATCACACCTGCAATAATGTGTCCATGTGCAAGCCTTAATTAAAACGGTTTACATGAGATGGATGAACATGCTGAGATTACTTCTCACTCTTAAAATATGGATAAATGTTGTAAATATATAATTCCAAAAATCGATCATTTCGTTATCAATTTGATTTGATTTGCTTCAAGCCAAAATAAGGTATTAAAATGGTAGAAATTGGCATAGGACGATAAAAAAATCTCGAATATTTTAACTCATTGACTTTCTTGACAAAGATAAGTTTGTTTTAGTGCAAGAATTTGAACCAATAAAACAAGAAATCACCCTCATCCGTCAAATAATTGGTTGTAATTTGACTTAAATAAGATATCGTGTTTACGTCCCTATATGGTTTATTAAAAATTGCGATTTTTTTTATTAACCTTGATATCCAACCCGTTATGCGAGCTGGTTAGGAGAATTTTATTCCTCATTAGATTTGAACTTGATACCTCTAGGTACTTTTTACCTTTGGAGCCAAGCTCAAACCAATCAGATGTCACCTTTATGGTTCGATTTTCATTCTTATGTTTTAGAATTGTGGGTTTCACCTCTATAGTTTGTAATTGATTGGTATTTTGATTCCAAAACCAATTCTTAGTTTTAAAGTGTAAGGGACCAAAACAGTAAACAATTGTAAACAACATGGATTGAAACAACAATAAATTGTATATTATAAGAATAGAATAGCAATATATTAGAAACCATGGAAACTAAAATCACAATTTCTAACCACATGAACGAAAATAGAAATTATTAACAAACCATGGCCACTAAAATCGTAATTTACTCTAAGATATCAAATGGTTATCGTATTCAATCCAAACCACTAAAACAATAATATTCAAACCCAATCATATCAAATCGAAAAAGTAGATATTAGTAAATTGTTAACAATTATTTTCCTACTAATCTACATGATTCATTCAAGTGCCCCTCATTTGTATAATCCGAACGAAGTTTGTGTAATCTTGTCGATTAATTGTTTATGAGTTATCTTGTCGATTGATATTCGTTTTGTTATTCAACAAATTAACCACATATGCTATAACGAAAATCTTGTAATTCTACTTCATATGCAACACTCATTAGTTATCTAAAATTTAATACCTCCATGTTAATGTTTGAAAGAATTCTAAGCTTTTAATTGCTAGGTTTATGCAAATGGTTGGAACTCTTTTAGAGTCATCCAATGTATGGTTGAGGGTTAAACATGCAAACTTTTTGTGTTGTTTAAATAGATTATTAAAAAGAATATATCAATAAGCTGAAACATGTGTAAATTTAGGGGGTGTTTGAGATTGTTTATAAAAACAACTTATTGACTTATTTCGATGTGATACCGGTAATAAACACTTTTGAGTGTTTGGATAAACAACTTATACCGAAGTTTTTGAAGAAGTTAAACCCTTCTAACTTATAATAAATTGATAAGTGATTTTGTAAAAAAGTATAAGTTAAACCATGGTCTCATATATTGTGGTGTGACGTGTGTTTTGAAAAACTAGATATTAAAGTTAATTCAGGAGGAAAGGATAAACAAAAAGTAGTCTCCAAAGAGATAAAGATGCTTTTCTTTATGGATCCATTTACCTTGGAAACTATTCGGTACCGATCTACTTGCGACAAACCAGAAGAGCCATCATCAACTTGCGTCATGGATCCATGAGCATGCCCATGGCTTGCATGAGTGTGAGCAGCCACTTGACCGACATGCTGCCGGTTGTTCTCCTCATCTCCATTACTGCCGGCCACCTTTGGCGGTGGTTTGTACTGAGACCTCTGCTGATAAGCAGCAGATGAAGTCTCAAATAATAGTGTCAGAATGGTTGCCACCATCGCAACAAAACCGGTAAAGGGGAAATCCCCCCATGGATGTTCTTTCAAACATGGAGATGTTAAGCTCTCAAATGCATCTGGGAGTACATGAATAAAACCAGTAGCCAAGATGACACCGGCAGCAAATGCTTTGATTACAAAGAAACCGTCTCTCTCTGGGCTTAATGCTGGGAAGATTTTACCGATGAAGGGTATACAAACTCCGATGGCACCGAAGATGAGGATGGAAGCAAGTGCGATCAGTTTGTACCTTTGAGCTTCACTCTTTTTGCCCTCGTCTTCTTCTTGTTCACAAGTGCAGTCGGCTAAAACTTGTGTGGTTATTAGGGTTGAAAGCAAGAAGGCAACAAAAACCAGCTTTTGGAGTTCCATTATGATTGTGTTAATAGATGCACCTTTGAAGGACAGATTTCTTCTTTCCGTTAGTTTTTCAGAAAAAAGAAATAAAAAAACCCTTTCATAAATTGAAGTAACTAAATTCTATGGCTTTTTATAGAGAATACTTTATGATCTCGACTAATCGCTAACATGGGTCTTGCTTTTTATTTAAGATATACCGGTATCTTCTTTTCACATAAAAACAAAACATATATACAAACACTAACAAACTGTGTTTAAATACCTTTATATAGTTATTATTATTCATTTTACCCAAAAAATGCAACATTACAAAAATGAAGAGTATCAGCATGGGAAAAATCCCTCGTTGATCCGTCGGTGAAAAATTCGTAAGTAACGTTATCAACGACGAAATTCAACGAAAGAAACTTTCAACGATGGATCCGTGATAAACTTGATTAATTATAAATATATTGTTTTGAACATGGTTCAAATTTATGGTAAAATGCAATTATTTTATACCAAAAAAACGTGACAAGTTGAAATTTAAATTTACCAACTATTTTTCAATAAAATTAGTTGACTATACCTTCTTTTAGTAGTTTACCAAATATTGAATAAATTTTTCGAATAATAGCTTTTAATTACAATTAATATTTTCGTGTTCCGTCCAATTTGAAAATTAACTTCAATATGCAAAAAACAGTTTTTCTTTTAAGTGTAAATAAAAATATAGTCAATGCTATCTACTCGAAAGCATAATGACACAAAAATGTCGACACATTTTCAATAAACAAATGAACCAACAAAGTCAACTTATACACATGTTCACATTCGTCTATTGGTTTATTTTAGAGAAAACTACAAAATTTAGTCCTTGTGGTTTGTCGAATATAACATTTTTTTTATCTTTACAGTTAAGAAAATATAAGATGGTTATTATGGTTTGTGACAATGTCCGCATTTGGCCTATTCCTCTAACGGTTGTTAAAACCTTGTTAGATGAAGGTTATTGTAGACTTTTTTCTATTTTCTATCATTTTTTTAATAAAAAAATAACGATAATATATATATATATATATATATATATATATTAGGTCCGACCCCGTATTTTAAATTAGGAAAACTTTGGACATTAACTCTGAAAGAAAACTCCGAAACACGAGAATTCAAAGTTCTATTGTTAGGCTGGAAAATAGATCTGGACTTAACTCTGAATAAGAGAAATTCAAAGTTGTCTTCTAAGTCTAGAAAGTATCTATGAACATAACTCTGAGTCACAATAATTCTGACTGCTTACAACTCAGAAATGTAACTCTGAAGAGGAGTTCAGAGTTGTATTCTAATTCTGGGAATAAACTATAGAACTAAGTTTGGAACATAACAATTTATATTTATGTTGTAAATCTGAGAAATAACCAATATCTGATGACCTCATGTTGGTGACTCAAATCTTTCTATTTTTGTGTTGGATCCATAATTGGGCTGGTTAAGAGATTATTTATGGTTAAACTATTCACAACTTATTAATGGATATAACCCTTTTGGTATGAATAGTTTATTAGTCTGGGCATGGATGTTTTTATATTTGTATCACTAATGTCATTTAATTGTAATGGGATTAATTTGTTGATCAATGTAATCATGATAAATATCGAATAAGTAAGGAATGAGCGGAGTGCACACTTGTTTGAGTTTATTTTGATTTAGGGGCGAAACCCCTAAATGACAGGGATCCCGGGGCAGCGCCCTCGGTGGTGGGGTCCAAGGGGGTAGAGCCCCTGGCTCGGGTAATATTGCTTTGTGAAAAATGTTTCAAAAATCCGAAATTGAAATTTTAAACCCGGTTTTGATGACCACTCTAGAATTAAATTCAAACTTACAACTCTGAATTTTCCTAGAGTTATGTTATAAGTCTGGAGGCCATTTCAGAGTTAAATTCAAACTTATAACTCTGATTTTCCCAGACTTTCATGCTTGTATGTCTTACAAGTCTGGAAGACAACTCTGAATTTTAACTGAGGAAAAAGAGTTCAGACTTGTCCTTAGACTTTCATACTGGTATGTCTTACAAGTCTGGAAGACAACTCTGAATTTTAACTAAGGAAAAGAATGTTCAGACTTGTCCTCAAACTTTTATACTAGTATGCCTTATAAGTTTGGCAGACAACTCTGAATTTTAACTGAGGAAAAGGAATTCAGACTTGTAGGTCTGAGGAATGGAAATCCAGACTTTTGCTTATTTAAGTATTTGAAAAGAAATCCCTTTTCATACGGAAATCAGTTATGTTTACAGGGACATATGTCAATTAAATTGGCTCATTTGAACCAGTAATGTAAATTATGTCTACATACATGTTCAGCTTTCAGACTTCTAAGTCTGGAAAAGAAGCCTCTAGATTTAGAAACTATAGAAAACATATCAAAGATTTCTAATTAGTCTAGGAAATCAGTTAAACCACAAAAACAGAAAAATAAATGTGTAGAGGGACATATGTCACTTAAATAGACCTTATTTGAATCGTAACTGAAAATTGTGTCTATATACATGTTTAGGCAGGAAAAATTAATAACCGTCGTACAGAAATATGACACGTATCATCAAAGTTACTTATTTATTAGATGTATAGATATGTGAATTATAATTAGTAGGTAAGTATATTGTGTGTGTATATATGGGAATGATGATTTACAAACCTCCCATTCGTACAAATACTACAAATCTCCTTCAACAAATCAAATTTTTTTTTCGTTTTAAATGTCAAAGGTTGATGCGTCTTTTTGATATTTAACAGTAACTATGGTAATTAGTAACTTTCTTATATTTTAGAATATTCACTAAGATAACCGTTTAATAATGAAAACATATTATTATTTTTTTCTAAACAACCAAATCGATAATGCACATTTTTGTAGTCGATTGTACATAAATTTTTGGTTTGTTTGTTCATCAATGAAAAAGGAACATGAAACATTATTTCATTATTTTCGTATAATGAAACATAAAACCACTGTTTGATCAACGAAACATGAAACATAAAACCATTTTTTCACTATTTTAACATGAAACATGAAACAAGTTTTCAATATTTCAGCAATGAAACATAAATGAAATTAGAATTTGTTTAATTTGGTTTCATGAATAAAATATAGTTTTGTGTATTTGGTTTCATATATGTTTTTTATGAATGCAATTGATTAAAAGCTTTGTGTTTTTCATCCATTGGTTGATAATAGAGATTAATTACGCGAGATAATGTGTAAATCGTTTCCTATGGAGAGACCGAATGGTGGATAATGGAGATTAATTATGAGAGATAATGTGTAAATTCTTTCCTTATTTAAAGGGACAAATTGTTTTGAGGATATCACCCTTTCGTCCTCTTCTAACTAATGAACCATGCATATTAATTTTTTATTGACATAAATAAACCCATTTGATCTTGGCCCTTACTCAATGAAATCAATAGTTGAAGGAGGTTTGTATAATATTTACAAATGGGGTGGTTTGCAAATGAAACCACCTATATATATATATATATATATATATGTATGTATGTGTGTGTAATGCCAAATTCAAATGAGAAGAAGGTCAATTTACGAGAAGACGAAAAACAATTTAAACCAATGATTAATCCAATGAAAAAGAACACCATAAAAGTCAACTTTCATGGAAACCTGCTAAAAGTTAGAAATAGTACAAACCAATTTCATGTATTATTTTATCGGTGAAACAATATATGAAAACCAAACCCATGAAATCAACCAAAACCATCTGCTGAGTTTTAATTTTAAGGTATAATTCATATTTCACATGTTCTGTTCCTATGAGTGAGTATGAGTGTGTGTTTCATGTATGCGCATTTGTTGTTGTCTTTTTTTTCACATGCAAAACATTTTCTTGAGGTTTCATCTATGAAACAAAATTTTATCAAAACTTTTTGTTCACATGTGTTTTTTCACCTAAGAAACAATCCATATGCTCATTTTAGCAGTTTCTATATATATATACATATATATATATATATACATATATATATATATACATGTGTGTGTGTGTGTGTTTGCATGTATAGCCATAGGTTTATTTGAGAAGTGATAAGTATGTAGGAAGTAGAGAAGTGATCATAGTCATTCACCTTGTCCAGATGCGGCTTTGACTGTGAAACACCAGATAACTCCTCGCATGGTATGCGGAAGATAAAGAGGTAGTTCCATAACTTTTACAAGTAGGCAGCAAAATGTATATGTGAAACCGTATGATTTATATGAATTGTTATGTTCATATGTGTACTTGTATGATTCACATATGAACTATCATGTTCATATGTGTACCCGTGTAATTCATATATGAAATCTTTAATTGATTCACATATGAACCTGTTTGATTCAAATATGAACTAATTAATTGATTCATATATGTATTATGGGTTCACATATGACCTTATAGGTTCACATATGCATTTTTTGCCGCCTATTTGTAAAAATTAAACTACCCGTCTTTTTGCACTTGAATAGTCAAAGCCGCAAAATCATAACCAATCTTGACCGTATGAAAGGTTAGGATCACTTCTTTATTTCTCAAATACTTAGCACTTCTCAATTGAACCTCTCCCTGCATACATACATACATACATACATACATACATACATACATACATACATACATACATACATACATACATACATACATACATACATACATACATANTACATACATACATACATACATACATACATACATACATACATACATACATACATACATACATACATACATACATACATACATACATACATACATACATATTAGTGTCTAGATATGTAGACAAAGGACAGATCCCACTAGACCGCCTTCTCTAGTGAATCCACCGGAATACACCTCCCCCAGTTCCCCACGACGATGTGTACCCCTCCCCCATCGTTGATGTCCATAAACACTCAAAGAAGGATGTGGTTCTCCCTTCCAGATGACATCTTCTCTGGCTACTTCACATCACAACATCTCTGCTCTTCTTCATCCTCCTCCCCCTCGTCACAGCCTCCTTTGTCGTTGCTACTTCCCGACCAAATCCTGAGATGACCATCTCCCATTTTGCATAGAGACGACC